GGGACAACTCCTTGGTGTCTCCAGTTGACGGATCAATTCAAATGGTGATCCTATACTTATTGGAGGCTAAAAGTCTTTCAACAGGGTTCTTCAGACGACAGAGAAGACATTCCCTGTGCCATTGATTCTGGATGATTCCAAATATGAGATTGTTGGTTGTGGCTACAGCCGGCGAGCCTGTTTCAACTGTTATCTATGTCCCTATCCAGGGAACCGGTTGATGAAGGTTTCCTATGTGCAAATCACTTCAACAGCCTTTTAATCCGAAGTCGGTGACAATCCTTCAGGGGGAATATGTCTTCAGCATCTTGGAGTTCAGAGAGCCTTTCGGATCCAAGGAATCTCTGCCGTAGTTCAATGAACAACTGGATGATATTTTGTTCCAAAGATTTGGTGTCTGCTCTTAGATGTATGGGAACCGCTCACTGCTGATGGGGGTACCTCTAATTGAGGATTCAGCACTGGACTCCCAAAATTTCCTGGCTGATACTGTAAGCCAAGAAGCCCTGGACGACAATTAATGTTTTCTTATCCAGAAGTTTCTGTGGATCAGCAGCAAGTCGGGTTATCCAGATCTCATCCTGATGGTAATCCCTCAGAGTACAGACACTCCTTGTCAAGAAAACGTTCTAAGGGAGAGAGCAATGGATATTTGAATGCATATGCTTCTTCAGTCCAAATGGATTTGGGTTCCTAGATGGTACCCACAATTAGCCGGGTAGGGTTCCCTCTCTTGTAGACTCTGATGGATTGGGGTCAGGAAAACTGAAAATTGTATACTTACCTATCGGTAATTTTCCTTTCCTGGCTCCAATCCATGGCAGCATACAGGACCCTCCCATGGCTTTCGCATTGAGTACTTGTTACGAGATTGGTGGCCTTGGGAGGCGGGCTTTCATTTATAGTATAACTGGTCCTGTGATTGGGCTGGGGGCGGAGGCATACCCATTATATGCTGCCATGGATTGGAGACAGGAAAGGAAAATTACCGATAGGTAAGTATACAATTTTCCGTTATATATATATAATCATTATTATTTATTTTATATTCTGATGACGGCCACTGTAAAAGAAAAAACAAAAACAGAAAGGGCACCTCCCTGAAATGAGACGGGAACCTCCCTGAAATAAGGTTTTGCAGGTTGGGATGTCTGGTAGTGACAAAATGCTAAAACATGTTTGAGTCTGAAGTCATCCTATTTTATTTTCTGACAACTCCATCGTGACCAGCTTTTGTGTGTTAAATATCTTCTCTTCTAGTCATAATTTTTATACCATATATAGTATATCATAATTAAACTGGAGACAATAGATTGACATGTAATATCATGATAATACAACTTTACAAACAAGAAAGTAAAGAAATCGCAAATGTTTGTTGCAACACAAAAAAGCTAAAATTATGCTTTAAAACTTATAACCAGCATTTCTTTGAAAGGACCAAAAGTATAGCTGTGAACTAAAAATCTGTTTTAGCAAAAATATATACAGAATTTAAAGTTAAGGTGTTCCACAACAGTTTCCCCTTATTTAGTGAATGAGGTGAAGCTCTGCTGACTGCTGTTATCCAATCATGGGCAAGCAAAAATACAGGTTTTTCTTCTTCATTTCTCTTGCATGAGTATTCTTTACAAAGTGAAATTTCACCCCATTTACTGAGCTAAGGAAAACTTCCCCTTCAAAGTGCAAATTCCTTTGCAAAGCAAACAGCCTATTTGCTTTTAGTTAATTAATTCCATGCC